GCTGTGTGACCCTGGACAAATCGCTTAACCCTGTTTGCCTCAGTTTCTCATCTGTAAAATGAGCTGGAGGAGGAAATACCAAACCACTCCAGTATCTTCGCCAAGAAAACCCCAAGTGGGATCCTGAAGAGTCAGATACAACTGAAACAATCAAACAACAACAAAAAACTAGGAGTTGGCATTTGGGAGGGGTTACACTAATTTGCTCTTGTCTCACTGAAGATAACAGTACACCTTCCTTGGAGGCGGAAGCAGCTGAATCTCAGAGTGGGAGATGTTGAATCAGTATGACTGTGTTCTTGACTCCTTGATCCATGAAGCCATACTCCTTTCCACCCTCATTCCTCAACTTAGATCCATGCTCAGTGAAAAAAAAAAACTTGGCCTCTGCTCTCATGAGCAAATTCAGTTGGTAGACAAATAGTGAACGGTAAAGTGTCACAAAAGAGAATTTATGCCCAAGTGCTGTCAGACGGGTAGCAGAGCCATTTACTGATTTACTTCAGATCATAGAATTAAGGACCACAGAGGCAGCTAAGTGGCGCAGCGCATAGAGCTCCAGCCTTGGAGTCAGGAGGACCTGAGTTAAAATCTAGTCTCGGACACATAACACTCACTAGCTGCGTGACCCTGGGCGTGTCACTTAACCCCATTGCCTCAAAAAAAAAAATAGAAAGAAAAAAATAATGAAGGACCACAGTTGGATAACTGCAAGGGATGTTAGAGATAACCTAGTCCGGTCACCTCCTTTGAAAAATGAGGAAACTGAAACCCAAAAAAGATAAAGAATTTTCCTAGAGTCCCATAGAGAGTAAGAAGCAGCACAGGTAGGTGTATGCTGGTAAATGTTTAACAGCTAGCTGGGGGGACAGGAGTGGGGCAAGGTGAGGGAGCATTTGTGCTCTCTCTCTCTCTCTCACACACACACATACACACAGAGTATTATTAGCCCTTAAATCTAGACAATCAAAGAAACGATAAATCAAGCCCTCATTTTTCAGCAATTACCCTTTTCTCCATTTCTGAGGTGTAAAGTGCTCACCCTGAGCATTTAACATTAGAGCTGGCTCCAGCCTACCTCAAACACAGGGATTTGAGCACAGATGCTTTGCTTTCAAAATCCACTGCTGTTTCCACTGTATCATGCTAGTAAGTGGCAATTTAGAACTAGAAGTGGCCTTGGAAACGATGTAGTCTAATTCTCTCATTTGACAGCATCACCACACTAGATACAGACTGAGGGATAATAGTAGAACAGGCCCAGAGCTGTACCACTATCCATCAAATGTTAAAAGCCCTTAAAGGAAGGCCTCCAGTGCACAGGCCCTTAGCATTCCTAGGAGAATGCCCCTAAAATTAGGAAATACCACAAATATTATCTTGGACTGAGCTGTGGAAAGCTGAGATTTGCAGTTTTCCAAACTAGTCCTGATATCTTAATTCAGGCATGGAGAACCTTGAAGCAAAATCGAGCATCAGAAGCCTTAATATGCTGTCATGTATGGAGATCTTCAGAAATATATATTATGATAAAAAAGAAATATAACCTATGCAGAAATTGGATTCATTCCAGACTGCTTCGAGTTCCCCAATTTAAAGTTTCCATATATAGCTTAGCACCCCAAAACATGTGATCAAAGGAGTTTCTTTCTCCCCAACCAGTTCAAGGGTCAGGGATTATTTCTTTTTCCCTTTTTTGTCTTTGTATCCATAGGGCTTAGCATAAGGCCTCATACCCAGAAGGTCCTTTGTAATGTTTTGTTGAATTGAATTGAATTATTTTCACCTGTTCCTGAGGACCAGCTATTCCCTAATTCAGGAGGAGGTAGGCCTTTTATGTAGAGAAGCACAGGGTCCCTATTCTTTCCTCCCTGTCTAACGCTGCTCTTATAGAACAAGGACCATGAGTCAATATAGATCCTGGCAATCCTGAGCATCATCTAGTCCTATCCCCTCATTTTACAGGTAGGGAAAATGAGGCCCAGAGAGGTTGAGACTTTCCCCAGATCACACAAGTTGTAGGTAGCAGTTGCAGAATAGGAACCCAGATCATAGCATTATAGGATAATATATAGAGCTAGAAGGGACCATAGAGAACATTGAATCCAGCCTCTTCATTTTACACATGAGGAAACTGAGGCCTAGAGAAGTTTAAGTGACTTACCCAAAGTCATATAGACAATAAGTGGCAGAATTAGAATTTGAACCCTGGTCCTCTGAATTCAAACCATGCACCTTATATTGCACCTTACTACCTTGATCCTATATATATATATATATATATTTTTTTTTTTTTGCTTTTTTGGCCCCATGAATAAGAAATCTATGGTAAAGATAGTCTTCAGAACTAAACCAAACATTTACTTATCTCCAAAGTTGCCTACTCTGGCTTCTACCCTTCCCTTCTACCCCTATCCAAACAATTAGCATTGGGGGGAAGGGGTGGAATGAGGTGAGGCAATGTATCAGATTAAAGTCTTAAGAGCCAGCCTCCATCCCTATCTCCCCAGTCAGTTGCACTGAACTTTATGACTGATGAAGTGCCATAAGAATACAGGCACCATGACGATATGCCATTTCTGAAGTATATTACTTCCTATTAATGTGGTTACTATGAACCCTTCCATACGTATTCCTTGAGTGATTAAAGCCACCCCAGCTTTGATGCTAGATTAAATTCCTTCAAAAAGTCATTCTTTACTCGCCTTCTGTCTAGCTATATTTCCCACCCACTTCTGTTTTTCCGTATTTATTCCTTCCCCTTGGCAAGCTTATATTATTTAGATAATAATCTCTTTAAGAAGGGAGAAGCTCTATTTGCAGCTTCTATACCTACGTTTTGTTGTTCAGACATTTAAGTTGTGTCCAATGCTTTGTGACCCTATTGGGGGCTTTCTTGGCAATGACACTGGAGTAGTTTGCCATTTCCTTCTCCAGCTCATTTTACAGATGAGTAAACTGAGGCAAACAGAAGTAAGTGACTTGCTCAGCATCACATAGCTAGTTAGTGTCTGAAGTCATATTTGAACTCAGAGAGATGAGACTTCTTGACTTCAGGTCAGGCGCTCCATCCACAACACCACCCAACTGCCCCTTCTGTAACTATATATTATGTCAATACAGCAAGTATCTGTGATTTCATCAATATGGAAAGTTCCTTATATATGCACTGGGGAAGATTGCCATTCTGCCTATATATTAGCACGTAAGTCTTGCCAGGAAGGTTGTCTAAGGCTCAAACAAGTTAAGGGACCTGCCCACGGTCATGTAGAAAGTATCAGAGGCAAAATTTGAGGTGGGGGGTATTTTGAACCCAAGTCTTCCCAACCCAAACTTCAGAGCTATATTCCCTATACCATGCTGCCACTAAAAGTGAGCCATGAATTTAATTTATCACACTTAGACATGAACATCTAATGTCAACCATACAAGTCAATAGAAGGAATGTTTACACACACACATGTGGAAAGAGAGAGAGAAGAGAGAGAGAGAGAAGCAGTTAGATGGCTCAGTGAATAGAGCACTGGGGCTGGAGTTAGGAAGACCCTAGTTTAAATCCAGCCTCAGATACTTACTAGCTGTGTGACTTTGGAAATGGAAATGGCTAACCATTCCAGTATCTTAGCTAAGAAAACCCCATAGACAGTATTGCTGTGATATGGTCCACAGGGTCACAAAGAGACGGACATGACTGAACAACTAAACAATAAAAAAGATAGATAGATAGATAGATAGATAGATAGATAGATAGATAGATAGATAGATAGATAGACAGATAGACAAATAGATAGACAGATAGAGATTTATCAATACCGTCTAAGAGATGGAACTTGGGGGCAAGTTCCTGGCAGAACTATTACAGAGAATTGGCGGGAATTGTTACTGTTCTCCAGTTACTACAGGTCTGGAGAAGTACTTTAACGCTCTTGGTGACCACAACCACATCTGCATGATGCGTAGAAGTAAAGCTGTGTAATTTATTATGTGTAAGGCTAGGGTTATAAACTGGGATTTCACAAATCAAACCCAGTGTAAGCATAGCCTGGACAGCCATACTTCCTTGAAATGAAGCCTATGTATGCACGCAGGAGTTACCTTCCTGTCCCATCTGGCTTCTCATGTTACAGTAGTAGAATCTGGGCTGGAATCTAAGGTTGGATCCTTCATTAGTTACAGAACCTTGGGACAAAGCATTGAGCTAGGGAGACATTTCGCTCTGGCCTGGATTCTCCACCTTCTCAACTAGAAAAGAATGTCAAGTTTTACATTATTTCCATAAAAGTCTTTCCAGATTTCTCTGTGTTCCTTATACTTATTGGTTATAATTGCATTACTATCTATTACATTAATGTGCCACAGTTCATGTAACCATTTCCCCAGTATTGAACATTTTGTATGTTATTTTAGGTTGCTTCCAGTATTTTTTTTATAACTACATGAAGAATAATATCTTCACTAACTAGAATCACATGAGGAAATGTGAATGAGAATGAAAGGACAAAGAAACCTGGGAGAAACTTAGTAAGGTGGACTAAAAAAATCTTATGATGCTTAGTTTTGAAATAATTTAATTTAAATGAAAATAGTTACTCAGTAAGTGTGCATGTTCTATGTTGGGTTTCCATTAAAACAGTGAATACGAGCTTGGTACAAGGGGAAAGTGCACTGGATTTGAAGTCAGAAGATGTAGGTTCTAATCCCAACTCTTACATATGAGCTGTGTAACCTTGAATGAGCCACGACCTCTCTGGGCCTTTGTTTTCCTCATCAATAAATAAAGGCGTTGGACTAAATGGTCTCTAATGTCCCTTCAGCCTCTCAGTCTATAATCCAATCATCTTAATCCTATAAGGAAAAGGAAGAAAAGGAAAGAAAAAAAATGGAAAGGTCAGAAAAGGAAAGTCAAACCCTTCTTTCATTCAGCCTTTTGGTGGAAAGCTAGGGGAAAATATGAGGGGAAGGAAGAGAACTGTAAGACAGTATATCATAGAAGTGCTTACTGTGTTGATCATTTCTGTCCCTTGTCCCATCCACTTTGCCATCAGGAAGGATCCTCAAAAAGTGGCCCCCGTTGCTACAGTAGAGAAGCTTGGGCTTCTTGTAATTCGCTAGCGGCAGGTTAAATCTTTCGGTCAGGGCTGTGAAGGTTGTGATCTCCCCTTCGGCCATGCCTCAGTTGTGTGGCTTTTACAGGCCCCTTCAAGACTGAAAGAAATTCAACAGGCTCATAGTTAACACAGCAGCAAAGAAGATCACACTTGTAATTTTAAAGGGCATCAGAGGGACTCGAGGGTACAGCCTTTCTGGCAAGGTCTCTTCAACAGATAGCAAGGTGATGCCCATGGCTATCAGAATTACTGGGTGGCAAGAGGTGACTGAGCACGGGGTTTCTTTAAGGGGAGACAGACCTCAAATGTGGGAGGGTTTTTCGGTGTATCTCACAGATCCCAATTGGATACAGGTTTGGCACAAGAAGCATCCTTTTTTAAGCTTCAAATTTAATCATTTGGCCAAAGAAAAAAATGTTAAGGTCCCTCCTTCTGATCCACACACATCCTCAAATTAAACACCAAAATGGCAGTAAAATAACACCAGGGGGCTGGTTGAAAGCCACAAAAGCCAATGAGGCCAGGGCTGAGGCTTTCTACCTCCACCCTCACACTGTTTTGACTAGGAATTGTAACAGCATCAGGGAACAGATAGCACAGATGGCCTTTGAGGCTTTGAGTCTGCAAGCAAAGGTACAGGAAGTCATTTTTCTTTGGAGGCAGTCTGGCTTACCCTCAGTGACTGGGGAGGGGAAACCACAACAGTGAACCCTTTTATAACCTCTCAAATGGCTGGAAACAATAAAGGGTTAAGACAGGAAGGACACACATCCCAGTTTCAAGTCTTTGGGGTCAGGAAGAATTCAGCACCAAAGAGTATTGGGTTGGGATTTAAAAAAAAAAAAAAGATCAAACGTCCTGTAAGAGGGACTAATCACGATAGAATGGAAGCTCCCTCAGAACAGCAACATTTCCCCAACACTTAGCACAGTTCTAGGCACAAGGTAGTGCTGAGTAAAATCTTGTTGATCAAGCTATTTCATTATGAAGAACACCTCTGATTTAGTGCCTACTTTAAAAAAATAATCAAATCAAATCAAAACAAAACTTTCCAGATACCTCTACCACACTCTAGTCTCAAGTGTGGATTCTTCCTACTATACATAGAAGACAAGTGAGGCAAAATAAAAGGTTAAGTGTCTTGCTCAATTTCACACAGCCCCTTAGCAATGCTATTAGGATTGCTCTCCTTATTCCCTGTATTTTCTCTGATCTTTTCCTCCCTTCTCTTTCCTTTTTTTCTCTTCTTTATTTCCTTCACAGAAACTTAAAATTTCAGATCTCGAAGAGACTGCCACAGCCATCTAGTACCACCTGTAACCCAAAAAAGATGTTGTTGTTGTTGTCTGTCCTTGGTTTTCTAAAAGGACCAGTGACATCAACAGTGATGTATTGACTCAAGAGTAAAATGGATTTACGTGAGACAGAGTTGTATAGAGTCATCAGACTCACTCCCTCTTCCAGAGTCATTGAAGTCCAGTAGCAGGACGAAAATCAAAACAGCTGGCGATAGCCCAGGATACAGCCGATGACCCTGGTGTCTTCAATGTTTGACCAAGCTCTAAGCACTCCATAGTGCCTGCTTCAGGCACCTTCATGGCCTTCGGAACAAGTTGTTCTCATCTGCCCATTCCACCAGGGGAAGTTTTCATATGCTTGGGGTAGACATCCCCCTAACTCACCACTGGGTTTGTGGCCCATCAGTTACCCTCAACCTGGTTCAGCCCTTCCCCGGAGATGGTTTTACTGGGGTGTGGCAAGTGCTGGGGTGTGGCTGCTGCACTCACTACAACTTCTTGGAACTATCAGGTGAGAGTTGACTGCCAGGTGGACACCAAAGGGCTCGGCAAGCCCTCCTTCAACACCCTATGCACTCCAAACCAAAAAAGCAACCTCACCACAGCATACCTGATAAGTAGACATCCAGCTTGTGACTGAAGACCTTCAGAGAAGCAGAAACCAGTCTGCTGAGGTTACCTATTCCACTTTGAGATAGCTGCAATTGCTAAGGTTTTCCTTTACTTCAAGCCTTACTTTGCCTCTTTATAACTTTTGTTCATTGCCTCTAGTTCTGCCGTCGGAACAAGTTGAATATTTCTCTCGCACAATTGCCTTTCCAGTACTTAAACAAAGCTATCATATTCTCCCCTGAGTCCTCTCTTCTTTTCTGCGCTAAACATCTTCATTTGCTCCATTTGATCCTCATTTGACATGGACTCTCTGGCTTCCTTCAAGTCCCAGCCAAAATTCCATTTTCTATGAGAAGCCCTTCCTGATCCCCTTAATCTTAGTGCCTTTCCTGTATTGATTATCTCCCATTTATCCTGTGTATATCTTATTCATGGCTCGTCCACCTTTTATGTTCACCTTCGCCTAACTTTCACTTGTGTCTCCAAGAAGCTGTTAGCAAGCACACCGGCTACACCCTTGTAAAACCATCTCAGTGGAAGGGCTAAATCAGGTTGAGGGTAACTGATGGGCCACACACCATGACTGAGTTAGGGGGGTGTCTACCCCAAGCATGTGAAAACTACCCCTGATGGAATGGGCAGATGAGAACAATTTGTTCCAATGGCCGTGAAGGTGGCTGAAGTAGACACAGCACAGCGCTTAGAGCTTAGTGAGACATCAAAGACACCAAGGTCACCCACTGCATCTCGGGCCATCTCCAGTCGTCTTGACTTTTGTCCTGCCGCTGGCCTTTGATGACTCTAGAAGACAGTGAGTCTGTGGACTTTGTGCAACTCTGCCACACTTAAATCCAATTCACTCATAACTGAACACATCACCCCACGATGTCATTGATCCTCTTCAAAATGAAGGGTTAATAGCAGTTATTTTCACACTGTCTCCCCCATTAGACCATGACCTTCTAGAGAGTGGGGACTGCCTTTTGCCTTTTGGGGATGCCCAGCACTTAGCACAATACCTGGCACACTGTTGCTCTTGTTCAGGCATTTTCAGTCATGTCCAACTCTTCATGATCCCATTTGGGGTTTTCATGGCAAAGATATTGGAGTGGTTTGCCATTCCCTTCTTCAGCTCATTTTACAGTTGAGGAAACTGAGGCAAACAGGGTTGAGTGACTTGTCCAGGGTCACACAGCTAGGAAGTGTCTGAGGCTAGAGTTGAGCTCAGGGAGAGGAGTCTTTCTGACTCCAGGTCTGGTGCTCTATCCACCTCACCACCTAGCTGACCCACCTGGCACACAGAAACACAATGCTTACTGACTTATTGACTGACTGAGTCGATGCCCTTCTCATAGTTCAGATTTTCTCCAATTTATCAATGTCCTCCCTATTGTATTACTCCAAACTAAACAGCACCTCCTGCCTTCCCCCCAACCAGAGGTCAGAATAAAACTAACTGGGGAATGGGTTTGATTTAGTTCTAGACAATAGCAAGGGGCTGTAATGGGCCCCCAGGCCCTAACATGATGATTGAATGTTTTACAGGCCTCAAGTACAAAGAAAGATGACTCACCCTTCTATCTCTTCCCTATCTTTTCCAGGGTAAAAAGAGTAGCATTTTTGGAGTCCTTCCTAGCTATTATTCAGACACCACTGTATTTACAGAAGGCATTTCCTTTCTGAGCTGTAATTTGATTCCTGTCATCAACACAAAGTTTACTGAAAATGAGGATGCAGGAAGCAAAGTAGTGAAGAGTTTGGTAGACTATGGGGGCCAGACACTGTGCATTAGTTAAATCACAGGGTATACCTAAAATCTTAGTGCATCTGTAGGTTACTAGAGCTTAGAACTGCACTAAGACTTTGCGGGTACCTTGTATATAATCTTTTTACTTTTTTACCATATAAGGAATGAAGAGGAATAAACGAATAAAAAGCAGTTATTTCCTAGTTCTCTGCCTTTTAGTCTACCTATATGTTAAGCAACAGGCCAAAGTTCTAGGCAAGAATTCAATTCAGCAAGCACTAACTAAGCACCGACTGCGTGTCAGGGTCCTGTACACTATGCTAAGGATACGAAAACAAAAATGAAACAGTCCCTGCCTTCAAGGAGTTTGCAGTCTACTAGGGCCAGAGGGTGGTGACAACGGGTACAGAGATAAGTAAATACAAATTCCACACGAAGTAGATACAAGATCATTAGAGCACCGACAACAGAGTGGGCCAGAGACATCTCAATAAGCCCTTGAGCTCACTTTCAGAGGATGTTTTTAAAGAGGATACAAAAATATTGCGAACCACCTAAATTTATGAAATCCTATAAAGCAGAAGGCAGCTAGGTGGTACAGTAGATAGAGTGCTGGTCTTGGAGTCAGAAAGACCCCTCTTTCTGAGTTCAAATCTGGCCTCAGACACTAGCTGTATGACCCTGAGCACGTGACTTAACCCTGTTTGCCTCAGTTTCTTCATCTGTAAAATGACCTGGAGAAGGAAATGGCAAATCACACCAGTGTCTTTGCCAAGAAAACCTCAAATGGGGCATGAAGAATCAGAAGCAACTGGAAATGACTGAATAACAACATTATAAAGCAGAAGGTCTACTGTCTCCATGAGGAGGGCCATCAAATCAATTCAAACTCTTCTAGTAATGGATTAGCAGGGGATGCCTCCACCTCTCCGGCATCCTGTCTCTGACTCTGGTTCATTTCTTAAAAGAAATCCAACAGCAGCCTAATAATCTGTCACTTGTTACTGTTACCTTTGGACTACTTGTGAGCATCCAAGCTTGAGAGGAAATCTACATATAATGTATAATAATATGACACATTTACTATCTACAGTAAGCCTCGTAGTTAAATAGTTGCAGCAAGAAGCATTTAATGGACTGATAAAATTGTTTATGAGGTAGTGGATTCTTTTTTAGCTTATCTGCAACACCAAAAGGAGACCAGCTAAAGTCTTATTAGCATAGCTACACAAAAGCCTACGCCTTTTGACATTCAGTGTAATTCAACAAGTGTTATTAAGTGCCAAATTCATATACAGTGCTGTGTCTTTTGGATTCTGGAAGGTCACCTACCTATATATGCATGTGTATGAGCACACATCTACCCAAGAATATACTGACGAAGGTCTAACACTGCACTGAAGGCAACCATAATTGAGATTCTTCCCAATTATGGGAATT